GCAGGGACAGGGGCAACGAACGACTGGGAAGGTTGAGAATGCTGAAAAAACACCTGTTTGGAGCATTCCACAGGTGAACAGGTTAATTGGAAGCAGGTGAGTGTCATGATAGTGTATAAAGGGAGCATCCCCGAAAGGCTCAGTTGTTCAAAAGAACGGGGCAAGGTTCATCGCTTTGTGAACAACTGCGTGAGCAAATAGTGCAACAATTTAACATTTCTGGTTTTGGCTGTGGTGCAGTGGTAGGGCAGTTGTTTTGGGACCAGAAAGTCACAGGTTCTATCCCCCATGCAAGCCCACATATCATGGTGTCCTTGAGCAAGACACCCAGTCCCTACTGCCTGCTACTCCACTTGAGTCAAATGCAGAGCACAAATTTCATCATTGCATCAGAGCATGTAATGATGACAATACATAGCACACATTATACGCAGAACGTTGGTACAGATATGTAATTAAATATTATCAGGTTCTCAATATCATCTCAGTTCAGGGTGTATGTGAAATAATTTAAGTTCTCAGGGAGGGACACAAAAAAATGGTTGAGAACCGCTGCCTTGTGTGTGCCAAGTATTGTGCGATTGATCAGAACGTTGTACACGTGTTTATGCAGAAGAGCAGGTGAACTGCTCTAGTTACACTTCAGCTGCTCCGCTGATAATCAGCTRGCCAAGGCTGTTAGAAAATACAGACGTATTTTAAACCATTCCAGTGACACTTATAGAGATAATCAAATAACTCCGAACTCAGGATTAGAAAGAACACAACAGAACTTAATCTTCAAAAAAAATTGGGATTAACATTTTCTCCTTGTTTTTTATGTTCTTTCAACAGGTTTATTTATTTATTTATTTATTTATTTATTTATTTATTTATTTATTTATTTATTTATTTATTTGTTTATTCATTCATTTTTGCCCTCGACATCAGTGATATCCTTATGCTGTTTGATTGTTAGCTTGAGTAGTCAGTCTTGGATAATAGCATTTTATAGATCACATGATGATGTTTCTTATCCTTTTATTGAGTGTTCACCAAAGATAAAGTGTGATCTGACTGGTCAAAGAGCTAAAAAATACTTTGGTGATAAATACTTTGATCCTGTAGGCTGAGAACAAGCTCATGCTGTCCCTTGCCCATAGGATTTTCTGGCTTTACTTCTTACAATAAATAGTTTTTAAAAAGAACGTGTTTTCTCCTCCCAACTAATAAGTCATTTTCTATCTAAGGTGGTCTTTATTAACAGGACATTATGTAACTGCAAAGTGCTGAAGGCGTTTTCTTTTTAAATGTGTTTGATTATCTTGTGTGGTTCTTTTGTTGGATTTGCTTATCTGCCTTTCTGTCTATTTTTTCCCTCTAAAATCTTTCAACTGTTGTCAGTGAATGATAAAGCAAACAATCAGTAGTGTATGCTCAACTCCTTTTGTTTTGCACAACAACATCTTTTTAAAGACTTGTGTTGGGTTTTGTGATTGAAAAAGAAAAGTAGTTTTGTTGAAAACTCCACTAAAAGTCAGAGAAATCAAAACTTTAGCAGGAAAAAAATACCTGCAAAGCAAAAACCACAGATGACTCTTCTTTACTCTGAGAAAATGCAACAAAAAGAAAGAAAAAAAAGAGTTGCGCTCAACACCCTGAGGAAAAAATGCACATACTGACACACAAACATAATTCCTGTGGAAAATAGGCACAATCACCCACAAATGACATAATTAGATTTTCCAACAAATGGCCATGCTATATTTCATGTCAAACTGACATGCAAAAAATGTCTTTTGAGAAACACAAACACAACTTAGCAATAAACCATCTGCTTCTGACAGCCATCAACCAACCACAAAATGTTTCTGGCTGTGGCAAACACATATTTTTTATTTACAGATGCAATTATGCTGTTAGCGTAGTCAGGGATGGACACAGAGGTATATATTAGGCTTTAAAAAGGTTTCATGTCTGTTTTCTGACTCTTAATACTCATTTAGGAATAACTGCTCAAAAAATATCTTTTTAAATAATTTCTAATTGACGGGATCAATTAGAGCTTCCTGAAAGTTTCAGAGGAAATTTTACACCTCAAAATGCTGACAGCATTTGCCCGTTTGGAGCAGATTACAAAATTATTTTTCAAATGCACAACAGCAAATACATTAAGTGTTAGCTAGCAGCTCAGAAGCAACTTGGATTTACTGGTGTTGATGTGATGACTCAGCTACCGCACCATCTTTTAGCTCAACATATGTACAGCTACAGCTATTTGTGTTTGATAAAGGTTCATTTGCTGTGGCAGCCATCTTTAATTAGGTTGACTCTAAACGTAAACCACTTGTAGATTTACGAGTGATTACTTTCAGAACATTTCATTAAATTCTGTTCACTGAGTRAAGTCCACTCCCACAGTTTATGACAAAGATTTTATAGACAGATCTGTTCATCAATGCAGAGGGTTTCTCTTAGGTTGATGCTCAGCTACTACCACACCAAATTTCAACTTATTATCTGTGAAACTGACTGAGTTTTAGCCATTCACGTGTTTGAAAAGGTTGATTAGGTGTGGTGACCATTTTGAAAGGASATGACTTGAAAAGCAAATTGCTTGCAGACGTAGAACCAAACATTAATTTCTGAGCATTTCATTAAAACGAACTCATTGGTTTGTGAGATATTTTGCTAACAGACGTGCACAGACACGGGTAACTACATTATCTCCCAGCTTTGATGGTGGCGGGCGACAAAGAGTGATGAACAGGAAATCTTCTGAAATCATCCTGTAACGTCTTCATGATCTGATACAAACTGATGACACGTCTTCAGAAAGTTTCACTATTCTGCACTGATTTCATATTTTGTCACCAGTASAATAACACTGAGTGAGTTCTGTGTTTGCAGTACTAACAGGGATGGCGTTGATGACCGCGTTGTTTATTACGACACACAATGTTCTCATTATAACGGAGGCGAGCCCATGGGCCGCTGAGGGTCTTCAGGGTCGTAGATGGGGTCAGCYCCCGTCGCTCCAGGCTCAGCAGTTCTGCCACGGGTCAGGCCTTATTTAGACTTCAGGATGGCAGCTTTTCATTTAGCATTAAGTGACACTTAGACATAACGCTCAATCAGTTTCTGGCTGCTCCTCCTTGTAGTGGATTAAAAGCATGTTTGAAGAACTTGTAGTCTATTTGCTGCAGGGGTCATAATTAACAACACTGAGGTCCATTTAGCCCTTAAAATTTGAAGAACCAAAGTAAAAGCAGCAATAAATGTCTGCAAAATCTCAGAATCAAATGGGAAATGTCACAACCAAAGCAGTTCTAACCAAGTGAACAATGTTTAAGTCTGTTATCRAAAACGAGTTGCAATGTTCTCATCTGTTAAGCTTTCCTTTTTATGCAGCAGCAGAAAAAAACCCATAAAAAATGAAACTCAGCTGATGCACGCCACAAAAGGAAACAAAGAATTTCCCTTTCTTTTTAAAGTAGATGAAATAAAAGAGACAGTGGGACGGACAAGAAAAAAAAAGAGAAGAGCCAGACATCCCTCTTAGCCTGAGGGGCTGTCATTCTTCAAAAAGTGAAGAGAACAAAGATGAGATTGCAGCACAGTTAAAGACGTTCTACACAACACACCCTAACACATGACCATGCAAGCACACACACAAACCACCCCAGCAGTTTAGCCGCAACCAAAAGGAAAACTAAAGACAACAACCAACACATCTTAACGTTTCAAAGCTGAAGTCGACCAACAGTCTGAGCTCTAAACAAATAAACCCACATGGAAAAAAAAGAGCGAGTGCTCAAAGAAGAAACTCAGTTTTCCCACCATGAGCTCTAATATACAACAAACTGATCACACCCACTTGTTTTTCCATCATCTATTAAACCCATCCACTGTTCCCTGAGACGCTGAGACGTGCTGACGAACACCACCCCCCTTCAAGGCATTTAAAGGAAAATTAATCTGGAMTAGATTTGTCAAGAGTTCACAAAAATAGCTCGCAACGACGAGGCATCGTGTGGCGTGAGCMCTCATCAGCGCGGTGTTAGCTGATGGATGCAGAAAGCTAAGATAAGCTGCGAGAAGGCACTTAGCATGCAAATAACACTTTAATCAGGATTGTCAATCAGACAGTGCATTTGGTATATATACACCACATGCCGCACAAAGGATACTATTCGAAATGATTCAGTCTGTAACAAAATAAGGAGCTCGGGTTTCGTTGTGAGGGAGCGGGTCAACAGGTTTATTTGCACAAACTCTCGGGGCGACAAATCAGCAGCAACAATCAGACACATGGCAGATTGAGATATTTGGAGTAGTCAGTTTTGTTGTTCCCTTCAGTGGTGTGTGTGTGTGTGTGGGGGGGGGGGGGTGACTGAGTGTGTGTGTATGCTCAGGTAGACCAGACGTACTCAGTCATTTGTGATGTTGATGGAGTGATCCATCAGCTCTGACAGACAGACAGTTGGCTGAGAGCCTTCAGGCTACAGTGGCCACTTCGTCTGCTGCAGGAAACTGGTTTGATGGTATAAAAGCCGACTGGAACTGGGGTTTAAAACGTAAACGCTATTTTGTGTCATTATTTTATTTTTAAAAAGTCTCAAATTTACCACTTGTTTTGACCAATTATTCTTAAAAGAATCATGAATTGAATTTTTTTCAAATCAGGAACAAAAACTGAAGGGAATAAAGACAAACTTCCCATCCCTACATCACTTTTTTAGCTTTAAATCATACACAAATAGCCAAACATCTTTCATTCCCTTCCTGCGCTCCTTCTGCTCCGTCCCCACATCTCTGTTCCCAATTAAAGCTGTCCTCAGGAAACTCAATCCCTGCGCTCGTGCTGTCCCACGAACGCCCGCTCACAAAGACAGGCTGAGGGACAGGAAGAGTAGCACTTCTCACTCATGCTCTGACATGTCCTCCGCCTGTCCTCCTGTCTCACAAACTGCCAGCACCGTGAAGTTACGAGGAGAGTGGGACCCTCCGAGCGAACTTACCCAGATGTGGGACGTGGACGCCGCACGGAGTGGAGGCGGGTGAGTTGAAGTCGGCTGGAGAGGAGTGGAGTTGAGACGTAGAGAAGTTGTCAGTCAGGAGTCCGCCTCGCAGCGACGACCGAGCTCAGCCTGTTGCATTCCTCCTCCTCTCTGCTTCCCCCCCGTCTCGCTTTCTCTCTGACATACACCCTCTTTCTCTCTTTCTTTCTCCCGCTCCTCTTGAAATCCTTGTGTACTTTGATTCACAAACCCTGCCTTCGTCACGTGATCCAACACTTCAAATATACAGCACATATTTTTACCAGCCACAGAATGCCCGAAGGCAGGGAAAACAGGGTTCAGGGAGCTTAGGTTTCAAC